AGTGTCATGCTTAGATCAAAATATGCACATTATGTAGAAAAATTCCCATAAAACTCAAAATAATGTGTACCCTTTCTTTGTGTTTAATCCTGTCCCAACAGCAGTTCCACCCTGTGCAAGCTGCTCAAATGATATCGCCAATCCGTCAGAACCCAGAAATAATAGAAAACATGAAACTGAGTGATCTGTTCCAAAGTATGCACTTCAAACCTGATACATGCGAGGTAAAGTGACCATGACTCTGTCAATTCCATATTTCACCTGTAGACAAAGTGCTAACCCATTAGAAGTGATTCCCACGTGATTTCAAGTTTGCCTTCCAATCACTATGAAATTTGAAAGTTTCAAGAGGCTTACCTGTGTAGTGTAGCCACTAAACTCTTGACCAAGAGTCAAAGGTGTTGCATCTTGAGTGTGAGTCCGGCCAATTTTAATAATATCTTTAAATTCAACAGACTAGTGATGACAAACCAAGCAAAAAAATACCCAGTGAGTATGTGACAGAAGCGAACTTTTAAAATGGATTATGTGCTAATGCAAATAAAATGCCAGCTGCCAGAGACCAGATATAAGAGACAAAAGCATGTGCATCAAAAAGGAGTGCGGCACATGATCAAACTAGGAATGACAGACCTTCAACAAAAGTAACAGCTAAAGAGCTCAAAAAAAAAAAAAATAATAACCATAAAACTCTCATCAGAAGAGGAAAAAAGAGTGTAAGGAATGGCTATGTAGATAAACAAAGTTGATAGTACAAATGTCTTGGACTTCCACTATATTCCTTGTTTAACTATTTTTAGTAAGTTGCACAATAATTAATCAGGGATATAAATAGAAATGTATCAAACCTTTGAATGCAGTGAAGTGTACAAATGTTTCAAATTCGGTATCAATCTTGAATTAATTTCCATGGCAGCTGCAATGTGCATTACCTAGATAACCAAGAAAAACATACAAAATAAACAGCTAGCATAAGATCTGTGCCACCTGGTCATGTTAGCAAGGAAATTGCACTATAACAGTTTAGTAGACAGGTAGCCTATCAGTTTCAGTAACTATAACTGAAGCATGAAAAGTGAATCAATTAAAATGAAGAATTTATTAGTCAAATAGAAGCCAACTTACAGTTGGGAATGTGTCATTAGAAGACTGTGATCTGTTCACATGGTCATTGGGGTGCACAAATTTTTCTCCACGCTTGTGCCCAAGGATCTCAGCAGCTCTATTTGCAATTACCTGGAAGTCCATAATAACGAAATAAATGAAACTATAATATGTATGTGATGATTAAAGGTTTCACCCTTAAATCTTTAAGTAGACAAATATTATCCTAATTTATCCTATATCAGGGAGGTTCTAATTCATAATCAAGAATGGCAGTTCACAATCATATAGATTTAGAAAAATAACAACCACAATCATAAAGTTGTCAAAAACTGGCAAGAGAATATCAATGTACTTCATTCATTGCCAATTTTATATCGATAAAGAAGTATCCATTATAGGGTGTCCACAAAAACTAATATGATTTTTTTTAGACAAACAAAAACTAGTATGATAAACATGAAACTATTAACCGCACAATAATTCTAACTAAAAAAGAAATAAAAATCCTCAAATATAATAACTCTATACTAATAACGCTATACTATTTTAGAAAACTACGCTAAATGAAGAGCAAGCAAATTGATATTATACTTGTGCAAAACTTATGCCTAAAATAACCACAGTAAACAGCTTTACATTTATATCTCACCATATGATACTGAAAACGTTAACTTCCTCAAACTTATGACAGTCATGTAAAGCATGGGAAATGGCTTAAAATTCACAGAAGGCTTAATATATAGGAATACAACGAAATCAAACTCACAAGTATACGGTGAATTTCTGAATAGGTAGGAAACTTTAAGTTTCAAACTTATAACGCCAACAGCTATGCCAGCAACATAAAAAGACAGATGAAGACTATATGAGGAACTCAAAAGTACTGACCTCATTGGCATTCATGTTACTCTGAGTGCCACTGCCAGTTTGCCAGACAACAAGTGGAAAATGATCGTTGAGTTTCCCCTCAGCCACTTCTTGTGCTGCTTGCATTATAGCTCTTGCTATTGAGGGGTCAAGACCGTACTCCAGATTCACCTGCACATATGAAATTAAAGACATAATGTTCCTCCAGACATAGAAACCATAAACAATCACCATGTCATTAAGTGAAAAAAGACAGCATATTAACATTCCACAAAGAGCTGAAAAGAAGGCACCTCAAAAACTAAGCGTTGATATAAAATTAATCATGAATTTGCATTGATAATGCAAGTTTTATTATCCACATGAGAAGGAGAAAGAAAGAGAGACAACCTTAGCAGCACATTTCTTGAGAATGCCAAAGGCACGAATAATTGGTTCTGGCATTCTCTCACGTTCACCGCCGATATTGAAATTCTGCAACGATCTCTGAGTCTGAGCTCCCCACAGCCTGAAATGCTCAACGATGAAATAAATTATTTGGTGACAATAACGAGAATAAAAATTAGCAAAATAAACGTTGAACAACTCTTCGTTATGGTTGATTATGCAAATATTTCGGAAACTTCTAATGCTATCCAAGACATGATGAAATAGGAGAAGATTAAAGTAGAGAATGATGCATCTTGTAATATATCGAAAGAGAAAAGAGAAAGATCAAAGGACCAACTTATCGGAGGGAACAAGGATGGGACCAAAAGTGTCTCTCTCCTCCCTAAACGACGTCGAATAGGATCTCCAACAAGTGACAGAACGCAGCGCCCTTGTTGTGGATCCAGCCGAGAGCCGCCGTGCCACAATATACACTGCCATCTCTTTCCCTACCAAATCCTGAACCAAATAAAAACATCAGATAGTTATTACATAAATACAAATATTTATCCAAGCAAGCATATAGAAATCGTGTGTATTTATATATATATAGATTAATACACATGTAATGAGAGAGAGACAGAGACGAGGAACCTAGTCAGTATACTGGAAATGAAGGATTTCAGGGATGGCGACGAAATTGCAGAAGCCAAGCTCCGAGATAGATGTAATG